AGGTGTCTTCCATAAAGTGAGAATGAATGGTGGAGAATGAATGTGAGGAGAATGGTTATGGGATCTCGAGATGGGAGATCCCATGGACAAAAAGGTATCTATGAGACTTATTTGGTGCCACTCATTGAACGCAAATTGCGCTCGGTGGTAAATCCGAAAGATGTCAAAGGTTTCATTGCGGAAGATAATAGCATTTCGCTCTTTCCATATACTCCAAATAAAGAAAATAAATTTCTTCAAAGTGTTGGGGTGTTTTCTTAAGTATATTATTGTTTCAATTAAATTTAAAAACTGAGGTTGTACAATCTAACCATTTTTTAGTTAAATGGAGGTTCCAAACTTCTCTAGTTTTAGTGCAATTAATGAAAAGATGGTCAATTGTTTCAATTTGATGATTGCATAAGGGGCACATATTTAACGGGATAATATTTCTTTTGTGAAGAGTGTCTCGAATACCTAAACTATTATGGAATACTTTCCATAAGAAAATTTGAAGCTTAGGGGTTATATCTATTTTCCAAAGCCATTGATGAGGCCAATTATTGTTACCGGGGTTGAGGTTATGAGCTAGCCAAGTGGCCGACTTAACTGTGAAGTTTTCATGCGTAGTGAGCCCCCAAACGGAGGTATCTATCATACCATTAAGAGGTAGTGGAATACCACTAATTTTAGCTGTGATGTTTTCAGGAAGAATGCCCCTTAATTTTTGTCTATCCCACAACTTATTAGGCAAAATAAAGTCGCACACATTAGTGTTAAGATCAACTTGATTGACATTTATCTCAAGAAGCTCTAAAAGGCTTCGGTTAGCCATCCAATTATCAATCCAGAAGAAGATATCTTTGCTATCACCTATCTTCGAACGAATACCTTTTCTCTAGTTCACGTTGAGCAAGAATCTTTTTCCATATATGGGAGTCTTTTAACATGTTTTTGTACTAAAAAAGGGATGTATTAAGAATAAACTTATTATCCTTAATAACTTTCACCCAAAGATTATTCTTAATGAATGCATCATTTATGTAGTGAATACACTTTGACTAATGATATATAGTTTTAACATGTGGTCGAAATTAGTAATATAATGTATGCATGTATAAAGAACTTGTTGTCATTAGATGCATTCCTTTTTATAAATGAAAGTTACAATCTAGATGCATTCACTTTCCTTATTAGTTACTCCCTCTGTCCCTTTTTTTTTTTTTTTTGACTTTTCACGGACGTGTTTTAAAATGTATATAACTTCATTTTTATACGCGTAAAAATTATAAAAACTTGATATTAATAAAATATACAACGAGACGAATCTAAAAGACCCCACATGTATATTATCTCGATTAATGAAAATTTATGGTCAAATTTTTTGAAGTTTGATCCATTTATATGCAATGGGGCAAAAAAATGAGTACAAAGGAAGTAATAATAAATTATCTATCTCTATCCTATCACATACATCCTCTTTATTTTTTCTTATCTATCTACTCAAAAAATTGCTAAAACGGAAGAAGTATTAATTTTACAATTTTACAAAACTTTTAAATTTTTTTTATGGAGTACTCGTACCATTGAAACTTGCTGCTTTAATTTTTTTTTTTGAATATTTAATGGATTGCATAAAATAATAATAAAATATTAAAATAATGGATATTTAATGGATATTCGAAATTAACAAATACATAGTGAATAAGAGAAAAGATAAAGAGGGAAAAAATGATTTTTTTTATCATAAAGTTCCATATATGGCTGCCCATATCGTGTGACTGGGGTTACTCAATTAGGCATTACTCATCGGTCAGGGGTTACTCGGTCGATCAGAGGTTATTTGATCAAGGATTGCTCGGTTGGTCAGAATTTACCTGATCAGTATTTTGATGTGTATTAGCCAGTCACACAGTGTAGCCAATCATGCAGAAAACGCGCTTTTTTTTTTCTTGAAAAAATAATATAGTAGATACTTCTAACTTCTAAGAGACCCCAAAAGAAAAGAGAGGAAAAAAAAAAGAATATTAAAGGGAAAAAAAAAAAGAAAAGAAAAGAAAAGGTGGAGTATAAAATCGAAACGGCAAAACACTATTGATTCCTGGTGGGCTGGTGGTCCCTTAAATAATAGTGGACCTTATTATATATTTTTGTTTGGTTAATTTAACATATATAAAATTTTTCTAAAGAAAGAAAAATAGGAATGCTGAAGTTACTGTAAAGCCCCTCTGAAGACTTTATTTCCACTCTTTCAAAGAAAGCCAATGGAGTATAGTCTACTGAGGATCAAGGAGTGGAGGGATCGGTGAGTCCCTCCATATTCCACCGGCGTGATCAGAGTTCGATCCTCACCCTCACTACATCCTTTCGTTTCGTGCGTATCATAATATTAGGAATTGCATAAAGTGTTTATATAAATTATTGAGTGAGGACCAAATAAAAATTTATGATATATTAAATTGCTAATAAGAGAGATAAATTATGATAAAAAATTTGCTTCCATAATCTAATTTTTAGCCAATCCAACAACCTTTGAGCCTTTGAGGGTAATTCAGTTTCATTGATGTCTGTTGTATGTTGGTAACCAATCTAATAGGTTGCCAACACAGCTCATGTTTCTATCTTACCCGCCATTTCTCTCTTTCCCTCCCCTCTTCATTTTCTCTCAATCCCTTCAATGATTTTCGTCAACCCGACCTTTAGCACAGGCCATCACCTCCTTATCAGCCTTCACCCGCACCAGCCCTCCCCTTCCCTTCCCCTTATCACCTTCTTATCAGCCGTCACTCCATTAGTGTTATAGGGGTTACTCTATTAGAGTTATAATGGTATACTTAGGCCTTGTTTAGTTCAACTTATTTTTACTTATTTCAGAAAAAATAAGTTCACATCAGATCAGATCAGAAAAAATAAATTCAGATCAAAACATCGTTTTATGTGCGGTTTTTTATCGCTAAATATTCTTAATTTCGTAATGAAAAAACTTATGAAAATTACATATTAATAAACTACACATTATTACGAATCTAACAAGATCCCACTTGATATATGTTTTCCTTATAGATTATCGTACACTAAAGGTCAAAGTTTGGTCAAATCAGACAATCAGATCAGATCAGATCAGACCAAACCAGATCAGTAAAAATAAGGTGAACCAAACAAGGCCTTAGTTAGTAATATAGAAATAACTCTGTTAGTGTTGTATGAGTTACTTTATTACTTAAGGGTTACTCAATAAGCTAAGTATAATAAAGACTTAAAGAGTTAGGTCATGTTCACTTCAACTTATTGTTGCTAAACTGTGATTAAAATTTTACTGAATTGAAACTATTTTTGTTGAACTTAAATTAAATTACTAAACTGAAATTACTTTTACAGATTGTCTATTATATTTTTTCTTTAGAGTTACTAATTTTTATTGAATTGAAATTATTTTTACTGAATTCAAATTAATTTTACTAAATTGAATATTTTTTTTTTACTAAGCTAAAATTATTTTAGTTTTTTTTTTTTTTACAAGCGGCTACTTGGTGTGACTAGCTGCACAGAAGACAATAACAGTTTAGTTAAATTATTATGACCCTACCAATATATATTTTTTTTTTAATTAGAAACTATTAAGGTCACCTTAAAAAATAATATTCGTTAAAAATAATTTAAGTTCAATAAAATTTAGTTTGGTTCAATAAAAATTAGTAACTTTAAAGAAGAATTATAACAGAGAATCAGTAAAATAAATTTCAGTTAAATTAAAAAAAGAAAATCTATTCAACAAAATTAAGGTGAAGTAAACGAGGTACAAATAGTAAAATGAATAAAATAATTACAAGGAAATAAGCTTAAGAAACTAAGGCCCTATTCAGTTCACCTTAAAAAAAATTGTACTCAGTAAAAATAAGTTAATTCAGTCAAAATAAATTCAATTCATTAAAAATATTTTATGTTCAATAGAAGTCGGTTCTAAAGAAGGAATATAATATAAGTTTAGTAAAATTAATTTCAGTTTCCGTAAAAGAATAATAATAATTATAGTTTAATAAAAATAATTTAAGTTTGGCATAAATAATTTTAGTTTAACATAATTTAAATTTCAGCATAACAAAAATAAGGTGAGGTGAATAGGGTTTAGGCCCTGTTCTGTTCACCTTATTTCCACTTATTTCAAGATTAATAAGTTCAGATAAGATAAGTTCAATAAAAATAAGTTCTAATAAGTTGTGATAAGGGTTAATCAGGGCTATCCAAGTTTAATTTATAACTAAAATAAGTTCTAATAAGGGCTAATAAGTTAAGATAAGTAAAAATCAAGTGAATAGAACGCATCCTTAACCCGGAGAAAAAATCTATACTTGAGATTTATGTATTACTTCGTATAAAATTGTATCAACAAGCTCTTCAAGTGTTCAATTATACGTATATGAAGAAAAAAAAAAATAATAATAAAAAAAAAAAAAATAATCTTCAATTATATACGGAGGTAATGAGATAACAAAACTCATTTTCCGTATTTTTCATATTACTCACTCGTTCAATTCTACAACAGAAAATTTCACTCTCACTTTTCTAGGTATTTTCTCAACTGTCATTAGTTTTTTAACTTTCAATTTTGATTTATGTAACCCTTACCAGTATTTAAACATTGTACGAGTATATGCAGAAATAAATTGTCACTCCATATTAATGCATCAACGTATCAAACAGTGTTATTTATGTTTATTTTAATGTTTTACTTTTGATATTTAGATTTTAGAAATGCATATATCATATCTCATTTCAAATTAAATTGTAATGTTGAGTTGGGTACGTAGTTTTTGGTTGAATTAAGGCATTATAAAATAGGACGATGAGGATTTGAACCTGTGACCTATATGTTGTACTTGGTAACAAATCCTTATTACTAAGTATTTTACGGCCAAGACCTCGTTGGTAGCATGAAAGAGTTTTTTTGTTATTTTGACATGAATGTGTATTTTTTGTTGTATATAGTATAATGTTGTTTTCTTGTAAAAAATTATACAGATATGGTGAGAACAATGAATAATTCCAGAAAGAGTAGATGTATAAAGGCAGATCGGATTTCGCAGTTGCCGGAACACATTCTCCGCCACATTTTATCATTTGTTCCCATTAAAGACGCAGCTCGAACAAAAACTTTGTCTACAGAGTGGAAAAGAGTATGCACTTCTTACAACATTTGCACATGTTTGTGTTATGATCACAACTCTTTTGCCTTACAGTTACTACTATCTGCTGATGCAATCGGGCAAGAGCCCGATGTGTGCGAAATAAGGGACAAATTCGTGGATTTTGTGGTAGATAACTTAGGAAAAATAAGCCAACAAAAGTCATCAGTACTAAGACTATCGTTAGATGTGGCTGTATTTAACGACGAGTTTTCTAGTGTAGATGAGTTGATGGATCTGTTTGGAAAAACTAAGGTTGAAGAATTGTGTGTTACCATGCAAACAATTGACTCTCAGGTGTTTACAGAGTGGGAAAAGACGTTGGAAGATGTATGTTACGAATTTCCCTACCCGACTGTACTAGCTTCAAACTGGCTCGAATCTCTTACTATTCGATGGTGCAAGTTCCCTGCGACAGCTGCAGGCACGTTTTCATCCCTGCGACAACTGTGGCTAAGACAAGTTATGCTTAGTGAAGAATCATTAAGCACTTTGGGAAGTTGTTGTCCAGGGATCGAGCCAATAGATGATTATTGCACGTTTTGGTTTGAAACCCTTAAGCTTTCGGAGTTTCCTAAGCTAAAGAAGGCTTCCATCCTAGCATCAGGTGAATTTGGTTTGCTCAACAATGTTGACACTACAGAAACTAACCTAGAGAATTTATATTATGAAAGTATTGAATACAATTGGGTGACGAGTCCAGCTGCTTGTCGTAATTTCAGGGAACTCACCCTGTATTACTGCCATGTAATCGCGCCTAATCTGTTTGAAGACTTCACAACAGCTTTTCCACTTATTGAGAATGTACGTATCACTGGTGATTCGAGTTTTGAAGGTGTAGATTGGTTCAAAGCTACTACTAATAATCATCTAAGGAGTTTAGATATACATTATGTTTTTTTAATTCTTCAGAAGCTTTATGTAGATTGTCCAAACCTGAAGTATTTCAGGTTTAATGGTGCTGTTTCAGAGGAGGTTTATATCAACTGTCAAAACTAAGGATTTTTCAATATTCAGTCCATGGTAACATCCCAAAGGTTGTTTCTGTTAACCTTCCGACTGCCTTATGGTATAGATTCGATTTTAATGTGTATAGTCATCTTGACACGTCGTGGTTCATCAGCTTAAAGAAGTTCATAGAACAGATAGGAGGACACAAAAGCATTTGGCTACCTCTTAGAGTTAGCCTAAAGATGGTAGGTGCAACAATCTTTGTTTTCTGAACTTTTGCAAAATGTGTTAGAAATACATTATTCATTGTACTGTATGTTTTCTTTTGCAAGGTTCAATTTGTTCTAGATGAATTTCAAGCAACTCCGATTTCCCAGCTTAAACATGTCCACCTAGAACTGGAAATTAAAAATAGTAACAAGAAAGATTTTGGCCATCTAGTAGAAGCTTTTGTGGATGGTCTCTTTTGGGCTACCTGTTCAAATACCTTGACTATACAAGTCTTACATGGTTATTATTGTTATGATGTTGTTAAGGTACGCCGATTCATTCCTATTCGAGTGTAATCAACTGTCAAAACGGATTAAGAAGTTTCTGAAATAGTTGAGAACTTGTTATAACTATGCATGTGTTTCCTTTTTTTTGGTTTTCAGTATTTGTGTAGGAGATTAGCAGACAAGAAACCTCAAAATGAATCTTGTTGTGAGCAGCAATTATGCCATAAATATTGGTGGCATAACATGGAAGATTTTGAAGTTACTCTGGGAAATAAAGACATGAAGGAGAAGTTGACGTGTTTGGCAGAGATGGTAAAAATGGCACAGACAAACCACCAAAAGCGTAACCCTGAGTTCAGATTTCAATGGTACACCATTGAAGAAATAGCAAGGTTTTTGGTGGATATGAATGAATCTTGATTATAGTACTTTCTCCGGGTTTTTTCTTTTCTCTTTTACGGAGTACTTGTATTGACTTGAAGCATTATTCACAATAATTATTTCACATTATCCACTTTGATTTTTGTTATTTTTTTCTAATCAATTTTCATATGAGTGTTTTATTTATTATAACGAAGTGTTTTTTTTAAAAGTGTTCTAGGAGTTGTCTTTTAATCTTGAAAAATCAGAGAAAAGTGATCGAACATACTTGAGATGGGCGGAAGCCGTTTGAAATGTCTGATTTGCTTCTCCTCCCTTGAATTTGCTGTGAAGCGTAACAAAATCTGGGGAAACTTCGTCGGCAACCTCATATTGAGACCATCTCAACATCCCATGGCGTGGATTCAACCACCATACACCACATACTTTATTGGCCTCCTTGCCTCTCAGGCTCTCATCAAACTCAAAAAGAGGTTAATTATACAGGATTACAGTATACAAGTTTATAACCAAGAAATAAGTTGGCAAAAATAGTATATGCCCAAAACCTAATAACTTCTTCATTAGGAAGTACTCCGTATAACTTTTATGTTTATAAACAAATTACGGAGTATAAGAAAATATACCATTATAAACTTACATGTTTATTACAGTCAAGCAAGCTATATTGTCTACATCAATAAATTCTATTCAAGGCTCTATGATAATCTTCCCAGTAGCATGACCACTCATTATCCTACTCCAAGCTTCTTCAGCTTTCTTCAATGGATGTTTCGAGTCTATGACTGTTTTAAGCTTTCCTTCCTTCACCAAATTCACCACATAATCAAAGTTTTCCGTCTTTGGAATCAAAAGCAGAGGAACCAGCTGCTTCTTAGAGAATGTCAGCTTCTTCAAAGCAAAAGTCATCATTGCACTTGGGGTGGGAGTCAAATCTATCACCTTACCTGTTGCACTCAAATTGGGTTCAAAGGTGGACCAAGGGATACCACTTGCACCATGGATCACATAGTCGTATTTCTTTCCTGACGGACTATTTAAGGACGCCCCTTCCGGGGTCTTGTAGTCAAGAACCTCATCGGCCCCTAAGCCCTTGACAAAGTCTAGGTTGCGAGCTCCACATGTTGCCGTTACATGCGTATTTCCCATCTTTGCCAGTTGGACTGCATAGTGGCCCACACCCCCTGATGCAGCTGTGATCAATATGTTCTTTCTTTCACCACTTCCATCAAGCTTGATGTTTGCAGCCTGGGTGAGAGCTTGGTGAGCAGTAAGGGCAGCAACAGGTAGGGCTGCACCATCGGGTGCTGATACTTCTGGTGGTCTGGTAACAGTCAGGTTCTCCTTTGCCACGGCGTATTCAGCCAGTCCACCCCCATTCTGTCAGTCATAATATTAATCAGTCACAACTTCAATTTTCGCCCACAGAAAGCTCACTTATTTGTTTGATGAGATAGGGCCTCTATGATCAAAATAGCATGTGCAGCATGCCCTTCACTCATACAGAATTCAAAAAATCTATTCCGATTAAAAGAATTAGATTGGGGAAGCAAGCAACTTACAGCATGGCTAAGAATGGCCACGACCTTGTCACCAGTTTTGAACCTCTTTACAGCAGATCCAGCCTGGACTACCTCCCCAGCAACATCAGTTCCTGAACCAACACAAAAGACGATTTTTAGCTACCCAAAAAAAAAAAAAAAAAAAGCAAGAAAAATCATCTTCCATGCAAAGAATTGACCAGTTAGAATCATAAACATTAATTTAACAAGCTACCATTTGTACTATGCCTTATTATGCTTTTTACACTACACATTAAGAACATTTTAAGGAAAATGGTCACAGCCACAGCCCTTTCTAAAAAATGGTAAATAAAAAATTCTGAACTTGATGTACACCTGTAATGAATTTAAATGTCGATATAACAGCTTAATACAACAATATAGAGAGAGTTAATTCTTGAGCATATTTGATATAACACACTGGTATCTGCATCCTAAAATAGCATTGATCTGCTTCAAACATTTGAGATTTCCAAGTCCCAACACAATTCACCACAGAGAGGGTTAACTTCTGCCACTGATTACTACCATCCACAGTCTTCTCACAAAAAAGCGGAGGGCTAGTGGATAAACAAAACTACTCATATATGTCAAGTGAAAACCAAGAACTGAACTTTTCTTTTTGAAGGTTATGCATCAGCAGGAGGGGGGAGGGAAATAAACTCCTGCAGGAGATGAGTGTTAAATGGACCCAAAATATTGGGGTTCATAGGTGCAGTGCTATCCACCCACCCCAAACCTCATGCTCAACAAGAAAAGCTAAGTGCAGTCTAAAATCACACATTCACAAATTTGACATAACACAGAAGATGATGATCAAGCTGCTTGATGAAGAGTAATACAAACATTATTAGTTGCAATAAGTTAATGGGGTGTTTGGTATAGATATTGGAAATGGAGCGGAAAAGAAACAAATTAGAGGGAGGAAAGGAATTATTTAACACTTACCTTTCCATTTGTTTGGTTTAGCCATGGAAAGGAATCACTTAATCATAGCTCCTTTACTTTTTGTTTGAGGAAGGTAGGGGTAATTGTTACCTTAGGTTTTAGAGAGGTAACAAATAGTGGAAACCATTACCCCTAGGTAATGGTAATTGTTACCTAAACCTACTAACCAAACACTTAGTAATGGTAATGGTTTAATTGAATCCATTCCCACCCTAAAAAATACTCTAACCAAACATGCTCTAAGCCTCAAGCAAAGAGTGTAAATAAAACTACAGCGGTATCGCCAGTATGAGTGTATGACATACCAGGTATTGTGGGGAACTTGCGGGGTAAGAAGGGCCGTAGAGCACCTGCCTGTATCTTCCAATCAATCGGATTCAGAGTTGCTGCCTCAATCTTAACCAATACCTCATCAGCCTTTGGATCAGGAACAGCAACCTCAACGTGCTGCAACATAAACAAAACTAATGAGAAGACTTCAGATATCATTTTGGTTCAAGAATATTCACCTGTATCTTTTACCTACTCAATAAATGCATCATAATTTTAAAAACACGGCATATACCGATAAATTAGTGACTATGAAGAAAAGTTTGAAAGTAACTAACATTATACTCTCCTTATTTCCTAACGGATTACCAAAGTCAGGTCACTTTGTATGATATGTCCTTCACTACTAAACACTACATCAACCACTAAATTGCCAAACACTCAATTTTTTTTTATTAGTACCATAAAAGATACTGCCGAGCACGCCTTTAGTTCTTTTTCCAATGATCTCAAAGTTACCTAAGTATATCTTAGAATGAGCAAAACATTATATTAAAATACAAGCATTATTCATGTAATTAATTTCACAACTCCCATATTTTGAATCTTCGATGTGCATCCTTCCAATGCAGGAATTAGCAAGTTCAAATTTAAAATCCTACGAAAAGTTAGTTCATTACCAATTACCCTTTAATCAATTGACTCTAGAAGAGAATCTCTAATCATTATATTGAAAACATCATATTGTAGTTGGTAAATAGATGCATTATCTTAGCAACATTTGGGCCCAAACTTCAGTTTATAATAGACTAGTAGATGCTCCTGGACATAACTAAATGGAATATACAGCATTCCTCAACTTTTTCAGTCAATTTAATTCCTAATTCACTCTAATTTTCAATTCATAAAACAATTAAACTTATAAATACTCTTCAAATTTCAACTCCATCAAACAGTCAAACTACTACACAACTAAAAATATATAAAAAGAAAACAAACCCCATTTGTTAATCCACCTTAATTTCTCTAATTCATTCATTTTATATATAAAATCACCAAGTTGGCTCAAATTTACATTTTCAATTCCCATGCATTACAAGAAATACATATACAAGATTTTAAAATGCCCAATTAATATTTAATACCAACAACAACCAAAAAAATCAATCAAAATCGATGGAAACTAAAATTTAGATAACAAACTCTTTCTTTAAAAAAAACAAAAATATAAGGAAAAAATTAGGGACCTTTAAGGAATCAGCTCCACCACCATAGCCAGAATATTGAAGCGCGTGCATAAGTTTGGAAGCCATTTGCGCGTCAGATGACAGATGATATTCTTTCTTTCAAGTCTCAATCTTCTTACCACAGTTTATTTGAGGAGGCCTTTCTGAGTTTTTGGTATTTGGCTTATTTTTTGGGAGAGTTTCTTTTTCGTCAATGAATATGATCACATTATTGGCATTTGACAGGGAATACGTGGTTAACAGGATGCCCACATTTGTACAAAATTGTGGGTGTTAGCACCCCTTTGTGGCGTTGATTAAAGTTTTAGAGGTCGTATTTAGAATTTTACTTCCTCCGTTTTTTTTTTTATATTTATAACAGTTTGACTTTTACATTATTTATGTATTACTAGTTTTGATAATTTATAGCTATGCAAAAATATAGTCATGGAATTTGTTAAATTCGTCTCGATTTATACTATTTTAATATCAAATGTTTATAATTTTTACATATTGATAATTAAAAATATTAACGATTGAAATTATGCAAGTAGAATATAGAGTATTCGTATCAAAATTTCGTTTACTAGTATAAATAATATTCCCTCTATTTTATAATGATTTTCTCATTTGGAATCTTGATACTATTTATAAGATGAGAGAATAATCTAAAATACTCTTGATATATAAAACATAATATAGTCATGTTGAATTTTATTTAATTCTTCTCCATGAGTAGTTTATTAACATTCAATTATCCTTAATATATAAACATATTATTGTCATGCAATACTTTGATCATTATATCTCAATTTAAAAAAATACAATCAATATGAAAAGATCATTATGAAATAGAGGGAGTATGGAATATTAACACATTTATATTAACGTTGATGGGTCATATAACGTTAATATAAATGTGTTTAATATTTGTGATAATCTACTGAGTATTATAAAATAGAAGAAGAATAACATTTGTAGACAAACAAAAGAAGAATAACATTTGTTTTTATATTTCGTATAAAAACAAGCAAACTGATGCACAGTTGAGAACTTGAGAAGTGCCACTCTTGGATTTGCTTGTCTTATAGAATTATTTCCACTTTTGTAGTACGATGATTTGATTGGCAATACTCCCACTTTTTCCAATTTTATTAGATGTCTTCAAAGCGACACTCATGCTATTTTAATGCAACAGTTTGATCGACACATCTACCTATACGTAATTATAACCGTTAAATTTTGTAATTGTATGTAGCTAAAAAAATCATGAATAATTGATATTAGGAAAATGTTACATCTTGATTAATCAAACAACAGATTCATAATAGCAAGTGTTTTTGTATGTTAGTAAAAATCAAGTCAAAGTTAGTACTTATGACTTTATGAGGTTAACAAGAAACACAAATGATAAGTTGGCCTTAGGAGAGTGGATTACGTTTAACACCTCCTTCCCTCACACCACACACAAATTGACAAATTAAGCACACAAAAAGTGATTAATTTTACAAGATTACAATTTACATGTTTATAACCAAGAAATTGGCTGACGAAAATATTCTATGCCCAAACCCTGATAACTTCTCATTAGGAAGTGTAACTTCAATATTTATAAACATATACCATTATACTGTCAACTTGTCAAGCAAGTTATGGTGTCTGCATGACTGCATCAATATAATATGTTCAAGGCTCTATGATAACCTTTCCTGTAGCATGACCGCTCATTATCCTACTCCAAGCGTCTTCAGCTTTCGTCAAGGAATGTTTCGAGTCTATGACTGTTTTAAGCTTCCCTTCCTTCACCAAATTCACCACATAATCAAAGTTCTCTGTCTTTGGATTCCCAAGAAGAGGAACCAGCTGCTTCTTAGAGAATGTCAGCTTCTTCAAAGCAAAAGTCATAAATGCACTTGGGGTAGGAGTCAAATCTATCACCTTAGCTGTTGCACTTAAATTGGGTGCAAAGGCGGACCAAGGGATTCCGCTTGCACCATGGATCACACAGTCATATTTTGTTCCAGATGGACTATTCAAGGACGCCCCTTCTGGGGTCTTGTAGTCGAGAACCTCATCGGCCCCTAAGCCTTTGACAAAATCTAGGTTGCGAGCTCCACATGTAGCTGTAACATGTGTGTTTCCAAGCTTGGCCAGTTGGACTGCATAGTGGCCCACTCCCCCGGATGCAGCTGTGATCAATATGTTCTTTCTTTCACCACTTCCATCAAGCTTGATGTTTGCAAACTGGGTAAGAGCTTGGTGAGCAGCAAGGGCAGCAACAGGTAGGGCTGCACCTTCGGGTGCTGATACTTCTGGTGGTCTGGTAACTGTCAGATTCTCCTTTGCCACGGCGTATTCAGCCAGTGCACCCCCAGTCTATTAGTTGTAATATAAATCAGTCACAATTTGGTGGTGACCACAGAAAGCTCACTTAATTGTTTTATGAGATAAGGCCTCAGTGACCAAAATAGCAGGTGACTGAGGTTAGGCATGCCCCTCTACTAAAAATTATATAAAAAAAAAAAAAAAAAAAAAAAAAAAAAAAACCAATTTGGAATGAAAGAATGAGAATGGGGAAGTAAACAGCTTACATCATAGCTAAGAAAGGCCACGACCTTGTCACCAGTTTAAAACTTTTTACAGCAGATCCGGTCTGAACTACCTCCCCAGCAACATCAGTTCCTGAACCAAGATGAAAAATGGTCTTAAGCTGAAGAGGGATCATGCAAGACATAATCATCCTCCATGCAAAGAATTGCCCAGCTAGAGTAAATATCACTATTTTACTATGCCTTCTGAAGCTTTTACACTACACGTTGAGAACAATTAAAGGAAAACCGGTTGCAGCTACGATACTTCTAGAAGAATAACAATGATAGAAGCAAATCTTCTGTGTTCTGTCAAACTTGACGTACATAAGTGAAAAGCAAGAATGCACTTTTCCTTATGAAGTGTATAGATCAGCAGGAGTGGGGGAGGGGAGGGGGTAAACTCATGCAATATATGAGAGTTGAACGGACCCAAAATCTTGGGGTTCATAGTAGCAGTGCGTGCCTTCCACCCACCCCCAACCTCATTCCCAACAAGAAGAACTAAGTGCAATTTAAATTCACATGCTCACAAACTTGACAAAACAAAGAAGATGACGAGTAAGCTGCTCGTGTAAAGAGAGTAAATAAACTACAGCAGCATAGCCAGTATGAGTGTATGACATACCGGGTATTGTGGGGAACTTGCGGGGTACGAAGGGCCGAAGAATACCATCCTGTATCTTCCAATCAATCGGATTCAGCGTTGCTGCCTCAATCTTAACCAATACCTCATCAGCCTTTGGATCAGGAACAACAACCTCAACATGCTGCAACTCAGACAAACCTAATGAGAATACCTCAAATAACATTTTGTTTCATGAATTATTCACCTGTGAGAAGACCTCAACCTAATGAGAAGGCCTAAATGAAAGTACAAGCATAATTCATCAAACAGATTTTATAACTTCCAAACTCCCAATCTTCGAACAGCATCAACACTAAAATAAACACTCTGTGTTCTTCCTGCCAAAGGCGGGGTTAACAAGTACAAAACTCAAATTCCTACGAAGCGTTACTGATTACCCTTAACAAATTGACTCTAGTAGAGACTCTATTATATTCTAATCTTCATATTATATCTAAAACATCATATTAGACTATGCATTATTTTAGTATATACTCTGTTACAGACCAGTAGATGCACGTAACCATAACCTTTTGGAATAATCCTCATTCTTCAACCTTTTCAATCAATTAAATTCCTAATTTGCTGTTATATTCAATTTCTAAAACTATTGATTTCATACATCCTTTCAAATTTCAAGTCCATCAACTAGTCAAATTATTATGATTATACTACTAAGAATATACTTTTAATTCTCTAATTTAATATTCTATAGTACATAAAATCCACAACTTAGCTGTTTATTATACTAATATCATTCCCCAACATTTGCATGCATCCCAAAACATACATATACAAAGTTAGAAAATAACCAATTTAATCAAGAACGAAAAACCAACCAAAAAAATCAATCAAATTCGATGGAAATTAACATTTAGATAACATTCAGTTTATATAATAAGAAAATAAAAAAGTGAAGAAAAATGGACCTTCAAAGCATCAGCTCCACCACCATAGCCAGAATACTGAAGGGCATGCATAAGTTTGGAAGGCATTTGTGCTTCAATATGGGCTTATTTTTATTTGAGAGTATATTTCGTTATAAAATCATCGATGAGTATGATCAGTTGATTACTATGACATTTTTGACTCTTGACAAGGATTGAATACATAGTTTACAGGATGCCCACATTTATACGAAATTGAAAATGTCAGCATATTCGATGATTCAAAGTTTTGGAGGTGATAATTAATAGATACTAGTATTGTTTATAACAATAAAAATAAATACATAAACAAATTTGTATTGAATTCAATGGGTCAAATATTATGATCTTCCCCTCCCATTTCCAACAGCTAGCAAAAAAAAAGTTGCAATTACTTTGAAAGAAGGGGAAAAATCAAAATGAAAATCTGCCATAACAATAATACTCATATGCTGATATACTAATCAACCTTTACCCTAACAAAACTTGCCACAGGTTCTAGTTGCAATATTACAACTTTACAAGAATATATTTTACTTTTGACATATTGATAAGTTGCTACAAATATACGTAGAACAATGAATGCGCAATATACACTAAAAGGACTAGAGCTGGCAACCCATGAAACGACAAGAACCCAAAATGGAGTTTTTGAGGGAGACAAAACTCACCCAGACCCAAGTAGAGGAATATATACCAGTAACGTATAGCCGTATGAAGTATCACATACCTACAGATTACATAGTGTCTGTCTGTATAAACACTTGTACCTTCTATTCAAAGCTCTATTATGATCTTTCCGGTAGCATGTCCACTCATTATCCTACTCCAAGCATCTTCAGCTTCACTCCAGGGATGTTTCAAGTCTATGACTGTTTTAATCTTCCTTTCCTTCGCCAAATTCACAACATATTCAAAGTTCTCTATCTTTGGAAACAGAATTAGAGGCACCAATTGCTTCTTAGAGAATGTTAGCTTCTGCATAGCAAACTTCATCATCGCACCAAGGCCAGGAGTCAAGTCTATCACCTTACCAGTTGCACTCAAATTAGGCTCAAATGTGGCCCAAGGGATGCCCATAGCACAATGGATCACATAGTCATATTTCTTCCCTGAAGGGCTTTTCAGGGAAGCTCCTTCTGAGGTCTTATAGTCAAGAACTTCATCAGCGCCCAAGCCCTTGACAAAATCTAGATTACGTGCCCCACATGTTGCGGTTACATGTGTGTTTCCAAGCTTTGCCATCTGTACTGCATAGTGACCAACACCCCCTGATGCAGCTGTGATCAATATGTTTTTCCTGTCACCACTTCCATCAAACTTTATGCCTGCATGGGTAAGTGCTAGGTGAGCAGTAAGGGCAGCAAGAGGTAGGCCTGCACCTTCGGGTACTGATAATTCTGGGGGTCTAGCAACTGCCATGTTCTCCTTTGCCACGGCATATTCAGCCAGTGCACCCCCAGTCTGTCCGTCAAAACAAAAATCAGTCACAACTTTAGTTTTCCCCACATCGTAAAAGAAACTATTTCCAATTGAAAGCACAATGATTTAAAAACAACTCAGCAAGAAACTTACAGCATGGCTAAACAGGGCCAGGACCTTGTCACCAACTTGAAACTTCTTTACAGAAGATCCAGCCTGGACTACCTCCCCTGCAACATCAGTTCCTGAAGCCATAAAAAGAGGTGGTCTTCAGCGATAAATTGAAGAATCTTGCAAGCTTATCAACATGGCTTTAATAAAAATCTTTATTTCGTGAAGGCAACTATAGTTATAAGCTTTTTCAAACTTTTACGCCATGCCTTGAGAACATTTTACGGAAATGGGTGTGGCCATAGCAATTCCAGGAGAATACTAATGATAAGGACAATATATAGCAACTCAAAACTATGTTCTATCTACATTGTAGTATTTATTATTCTGAACAATTAGACTCTCATGTAATACTACAATAATATATGGTTGAAACCTTGAGATCTCCATTACAAGTCAGTAAATCACATTCTCCACAGAGAGGACACCACTCTATACCACCCATCCACAGCTTCTCGAAGGTAAGAGGAAGGCCGAAGAACAAAACAATGTAATATGTCAACAGAAAAACAAGAGGCAAAAGAAGATAAAAATCAAGCTGCTAAGTTACGAAGTATGCGCACTTAACAGCATCAAGTTGAACCTCAAAGGAAGAACTGAAATAAAGAAACAGTGCAGTATGTCAAACCTGGTATATAAGGGAACTTTCGGGGTAATATGGGCCGAGGTATGCCCTCTTGTATCTTCCAATCAAATGCGTTTAAAGATGCAGCCTCAACTTTTAATAAAACCTCATCAGCCTTTGGATCAGGAACAGCAACCTTAACACGCTGAAACATAGATAACAACCCCCATGAGAAGACTGGCTGAAGGCAGGTATAAGAAGCTAAAAACCTACATCATAAGGATTTAACCCAACAGACAAGTAGCAATTGTTCTGAGCTCTAATCAACACATTTTCAACCCCATATTTCAGCAATTTTCGGTCCAAAAATGATACTAGAACAAACAAGCGTAAATGATCCTTTACTCCTTAGTCCTAAAACTCCTAACCATATCTTTTCAAATTATACTTGTAGTTTTGTACAACATTTATTCGAGGAAGACCTATTCATAGGAGGAACAAGAATCTTTTGTACCATTGTTTTAATTGTATATTCGACTATTCGAGCATTATTATATACGAGTACATAAATTACATCACAAATGTTGTATGCTAAGATCAAAATATAACCATCACACTTATCTTTAATACAGCTAACTAATGATATGTTCAAAATACTTCGTACAATATACTTCGTAATTTCGTATACAATAATACATAGTGATATATTCATTGCAGTATTCAAACTAAGAACATTCTAAATTCTCCATGTTTTTCTATCATCTCTCTATTAAATGCTAAAATAACACACAATTGAAATTGTAATTTGCTAATTCTCTACTCCTAAAACCATACAATTAGCATCTTAATTCTACTCCACTTCATCTCTTTACATAAGAATCAAAAACCTAGACAGAAAATCAGAGAATAATAAAGTATTAGTAAACCCCAAGTGCAAAATCATTTAAATTACAGAAATCGCAAAATTAATTATTGTAAGAAACCCAAAAAAAAGGGAGAATCCCTTGCATAAGAATCAAAAACCCAGATGGAAAATCAGAGATTAATTAAGTTTTATAAAAACCCAAGTGCAAAATCATTTAAATTAATGAAATTGCAAAATGAATTACTATAGAAACCCAAAAAAAAAAAAGGGAAGAAAAAACCTTTAATGCAGCAGGTCCACCACCATAGCGAAAATACTGAATAGCATTCATTAATTTGGGTGCCATTGCTCCACTGCACTTGTAGGAGGATTAATTGGGGGTGGTATTTATTCAGCAAATGACTGCAATTTTCGATATGAAATTTCAAAGTGGAATTTAATGAGGTCAGTCGTCTCTGCCGCCATGGAAGAACATAGACAATCTATTTTTGAAAGTTTGACCGATATACAGTGTGATGAGTATGGGATTCCTTGGTGGTATGGGATTCCTTGGGGAGTAAGGAGGGAGTTAGAACCCTTGGATATGAGATTCCATTTTTAAAAATCTTAACCAAACAAAAAATTAGATGAAATGAATTCTAACTCCATTTCAATTCATTTCAAATAATCTAACTAAACGACCCCTAAGTATATTAAAAATTTAAAATAATATAAATAATCTAATAATTGAGTCGTGTCACAGAAGAGTTTAGGTAATAGTTTTAAAGTGATTGCGCTTTAAGTTTATCATTTCAAGTTTAGATTGGGTTTATTCGGGTTTTATCGCTTCCATGGATTTTGGGTTGGGACTCTTGAGAGTAGTACCGTGTCAAGACTTTGAGCCATTATAGGATCAAATTATTTTGGATATGGTGATTATTGCGTTGGGCTAACCTTTGTATATTTGAGCATTTAGGATTTAGGGCTAAATCAAGTCATTTATGGTCAACATGTATTGGATGGAGCAAGTACAACAATTTAATCAATGGACAAAATAGAAACTTTAGGCCATGAGGCCCATGTTCATGTATTTTATTTCATTACCAAAATTGATTTGAACAAGTCAAACATGGAGAAAATATAAGTTTATCCATAAGTTATTTATCACAGTGACAAATTTATAAAAAGAGAAAAAAACAAATTGTTCAAGGAAGAACCTCTAATGGTGTTAGCGATTCTATGAATAGAGTAAAAAAAAACACTATTCATGGTAGAACCGCTGATGGTGTTAGCGGTTTTACCATGAACAATGTTTTCTTTTTTCATTTATTTACAAATCTGCCATTTGATAAACAACTCGTGCTTATCAAGGAGATAAACCAGACAAGCCTCTCAAACATGTATAGGACTCATTATAAATAACACCTATACATTGTACGTTTAAAGCTATGATCTGTATCACTCTATTTATATCTAAATTTAGGTCCCATATCCAATCATCCAATTTTCTCTTATACCCTTGTATAAATTGTGTAATTTGCTCATGAAACCGGCTTATTGCGATAGATGGAATACACAACGTGTGATTGAAAAGTGGCAATAATAAAAAGCATGGACAATGATAATACTTCATTGCTTTGGGCTAAGAACACTCCCGTGTTGGAGTAGAATTTGACTTCATACATTTCATGCACGAATACATGATAACACATTGAAACCTATTTAGTAATATTAAATCAGTCGTCCACTTAGACTTATAAACCAATTCGATCCCTTAACAAGTTCAAGTAGTAAGTAAATTTTCAAACAAGGGACTTACAACAATACGCCTTTCTACACCCTTCAATCCTTCACCCTCCTATCCAAAAAGTGCCATAAATATTGTATCTCCAAGTCTTCCCACAATTCTACATACTCAGTGGCGTAACCAGAAAATTTCCAAAGGAGTGGCCTAATTGATAAAGTAAAAATAATACCTCGACAAGTCATAAATGCATATGTAATTTGGTAAAAACGATTCAACATTAACCATTAAAATAAAAAGGTGAAAATTACTCCAGCATGAGTTCTTATAGGTTTCATAGAATAAAAAGTCATCAATGATTGACTTTATTTCGAATTTTCCAGCAATCTCCTTCTCAATATACACTACAAGTAGTCGAAAAGAAAGTCATCTTTCATCTTATCTCGAACAATATTCTTCACAATTATGTGTTATATATTCTAATGGCTAATTAAATTACATGGTATCTAATTTAATTACTTAAATTTATTTATGTAATCTTGATACATGTATTTAAAATAAAATAATGAAATTTCAACAACAAAGTTTCGTTATAAAAAAATAAATAAATAAATAACAAAAAAAAAAAAAAAAACGGAAAACATACTTGAAGGGTAAAGGAATTGTAATTGTCTAATTGATGTGTGTAATATCCAATTGGTAAAAATTTAATAATTTGTAAAAAGTAGTTGTGAACATAGTAGGCTAGTACCTAACCCCTATATACATAGACAACATAGTATATACTTTAGAAAAAGGAATAAAATTTATAAAAAAAAAAAAAAAAAAACAAAACAAAATCCTTTCCTTCTCGTATGCGTGATAGCCGCCTATATGTACTCCTATTCCTATATACATGGCTTTTTTTTTTCTTTTTTTTTTTAAAAAAAATAAATAAATTTGGGCTTTGCAGTAATAAAAATTTTGGGCCAAGGGGGGCATATTCTTAGATGCACAAGGTTGCAACTCATCAAGTACCCCCTTTTATACACCAAACACACATATATACTATTTACTATTGGAGTACAGGTATATATTACTTCATCTTAGAGGTGATCAAAGTTAGCGCGGCCCGATTTTGGTCGGGTTTTGGGCAGAATTTTTTGGCCCGAATTTTTTTTTTTTGGGCGGATTTAGGAATGCGTTTTTATGCATATTCAATTGATTTTTTTAGGCCCAGCCCGAAAAGCCCGCACGGCCCGACCATTTTGGGCGGGTATAGGCACAAAAAATTCCGGCCCGAAGCTTGACCCGCCCCGAGAAGTCGGCATAATTTTTTAGCTTCGGCCCGGCCCAGCCTGCCTAATGATCACCTTTACTTCATCTCCTTCCTTCAATCTTCTCCCTATTTTATTTCTTTTCTTATTTCTTAATTTTTACATAATTTTTTCTCTTTTTTCCAAATTCCTTACTTAATTCTTAATTTTGGTTGAAATTTTCTCTCTCCACTGTGTTTGGCATTATCTTCTTCTTTTAAGATTTTCTCTCTCCTCCATTTTTTTTATTTTCGTTGATTCGTGATGGATTTAATTGGAATCTTGAAGAGATTGTTGATATAAGTTAGTTTATGTTATTGATTTGTAATTTGATTTAATTGGTTATTTTTTCTAAATTTGTGATTGATATTGCATATGTAATTTTTGGATAATTTGCCAATTAGTAGTAAGTGATGAACACAAATTGATTGTAGTACTTTTCTCTTTTTTCTTTCCTATAATAATTTTATTCAAAATTTTCGTCAAAATTTTGATCATAATTTTCAACAAAATTTTGATCATAATTTTCATCAAAATTTTATTCTCCTCTGTTTTTTCCTCTTTCGTTCTTCATTTTCTCTCTCCTCTGTAATTGTATTTTGTTTAATTTCTATCAATTTGATCTACGTATGAATTTCGGTTTTTTTGTGGTGATTTTGTAATGAATTTTGATCAATTTGATTAGGTTTGTGAACATGCAATTTACGGCCTCTAATTATGAACATAAGAAAATTGAAGAAATAAAAAATAAAATAATTATGAAACATACGCATTATAAGTATTAAAAATATGAATATATGCATTTTAGAAAATGAACATACGCATTCAAAATATGAACATATGCATTGGTTCATTTTTTTGAATGCGTATGAACATAATTAAGCATTTTAGAAGGTGAACATATACAAAAAAAATATGAACATATGGATTTCAGAAAGTGAACATATGCATTTCAGAAAGTTTACATAAGCATTTCAGAAAGTTTACAAAAGGATTCAAAATATGAACATAAGCATTTAAGAATGAAAATGAACATATGCATTTCAGAAAATGAACATAAGCATTCAAAATATGAACACAAGCATAAACAGACAAAACAAACAAAATGAGAACATTTTATGAACATTAAGAATATTTATCATATGAACAACAAATAATAACATTTCAAAACATTTTATGAACATAAGGTATCCGTTTGATTTCACTAAATTTTTTAACAATTCTAATAAAAATTTCGAACAACAGAGTATCGAACAATATTCAAATAAAATTAAGTGATATTCATATAAAGTCAAACAAAATTATGTGAAATTTCCATAAATTTACCTTTTTTGGGAGAATCCGTTTGATTTTCATCTCATATCAAATATCCATGGTTGTTTTGGAGGAGAGAGAGTGAATTGTGTTTGATTGTAAGAGAGAGAAAATCAAAGAGACGAATAATAAATTTCAGAAATTTAAATTTGATAGTGACGATTTTTTTTTTATAAATTATATTTTAAAAAAATTAGCTGTTGAAAGTGACGGTTTTGTATAAATGATAATTAGGTGGGCTGCATTTTAAAGATATGTTCAGATGTTTGGATGGGCTCGTTTTGGTTTGGACCTTTTTTTAATGAGGCGCGTTTAAAATTGGTTTATGGGCTGGTGTTGCAACTAGAATAGATACACACTTGTGCAGCTTAGACCAATTGCCAAGGGGGTGGCCATGGCCCACCCAAGCCCCCCCTAATTAACATACTAGTGATACTGCACCATAATTTTCATAGTCAGATACTCAGATTTTACATAATTACACTACTAATGCATTAATTTCTCCTAGATTAATCCGACGGGGTCAATCATATCATCAATGCCTTTTGTCAGATTTAAATATTATAACTAACATAGTAACATGCATTAATTTTTCCTAGATTTAATCCAATGGTAATTGGTTTATAACCAAACTTTACATTAAAATAAATCAAATATAATCATATACAGAGTACAAATTGATGAATCTTTTTCATAATACTCAAATTACAAATCAATTATGATCGAAAAATATTACAAAACAGATGAAGTAATTAATAATTGGTTCCGCACCCGTGCCTCACAAGTTATGCAACATTTGTATTGAACAATTTTCCCAAAGTTGGGGAAGCAAGTCAAGACTCAAATGACCAAGAAATATTAAATTAGAAGACAAATATTAATATAAGAGTTGGTCAAACCAAACCTCATGTATATTATTATTTCATGCATATGATTGTTTATAAATGAACGTAACGAAGCTTCCAAGCAACCAATTAATTAATGAAATGGTTAATTTACTTAATTATTGAGCTGGTAAATCTAATTAGACAAAAATGTTACTTTCCAGCACCAAATTAATAATCACATAATTAATTACATGACATCCAAAAACTAATTAAAAAAAATGTACATACATACGTAATACATTGCATCAATTCAAGCATTTTCTTGAACAATTCCTAAAGCTTCCATAGAATTATTCAACAAATCAGTAATCATAGTAAC